TGTGCAGAAGCTTTTTTATTTAATGTTGTCACGTGTATTAGTTCTTGCTTTTATTTCTTAAGTTTTCGGGGTCTTATTAAGTAAGTCAGTGCTTCTGCCAGTGTGTTGAATGGTGCCCCTATGTTTTCTTGTAGCAGTTTTGCTGTTTCTGGACTAATTCCTAAGACTTTGATACACTTTGGTTTCATTTTTGTGCAGAGTGAAAGATAAGGACCTCATTTCACTCTTCTACCTATGGCTGTTCAGGTTTCCCCACAGCATTTGCTCAAGAGGCTGTCATTTCCCCAAGGTACGCTTTTGGCACCTTGGTCAGGAATCAGATTTATGTGGATTTGTCTCTGTGACTTTAATCCATTTTTTAGTTTACTTTTATGTACTGCTTAAGATACAGGTCCAGCTTCATTTCTTTGCATGTAAATATCCTCTTTTCCCAGCAACATACATGGATGAGAGAGTCCCTTCCCTATTGTGCGTTTTGGTGTCTTTTCAGTAATTGATTCTGTGTGCGTGAGTTTGTATCTGAGTTCTCTCCTTGTTCCATATTCATGTGGTATTCTCTGTTCTCTTCTTTGTGTCAGCTTTCATGTCGGTATCTGAAAGGATTATTAGAGTCTTACAATATACTCATAATTATGCACTGTAATGCCTCTCATTTGACCTTTTGGTCTCAGGAGGAAATGATCACTCATGATCTTTTTTTGGTGCCATGTGAATTAAAGGATTTTCTTTCCATATTAAGGAAAACTGCCCTTGATAGATTTACAGAAATGTCACTGAATCTCTTGCTTTGAGTAGCCTGGACATTTTAACAATATTTATTCTTCTAATCCATAAGCACACTGTATCTTCTTATCCATGTATGTCTTCAGTTTTTCTCATCAGTGTTTTATAATTTTTATGAAACAAGTAAATTTGCTTTGTTTGAATACATTTGCATCACTCTATTTCTAAGTATTTTGTTTCTTTTGGTGCCATTGTAAATGGAATATTATTATTTTTTATAGTTGATTATTAAGGATATGGGAATGCATCTGATTTTCTCAGGTGGACTGTGTTTCCTGAACCTTGACTGCACTTGTTAATTAGTTCTAACAGATTTATTGGAGAAGGTTGTAGCATGTTCTATGAAGAGGACTTGTCCTCTGCCAACAGAGGCGGCTCTTCCTTCTTCCTTCCTGGTTAGGGTGCTTGTGATTTCTTTTTCCTCCCTGATTCTTCTGGCTTCCAAATGATTCTGAGAGGAGTCCCCATGGCCATATCTCCCAGGGGATCTGCCAAGGCCTCTGTCTCTTGTATTCTCACCAGGGCTGTTCAGCACCAGCCTTAAAACCTGCCCACTCAATGGGGACAAAAAACATCTCAGTAATATGTGTGTCAACATTGGTGTGTTGACAGAGATCGAGCATCTTTAACAGTTACTATGTGCAGTAATTCTATTTTGAATTGTGGAAATTTGTCCTTTGTCCCACTAGAAAAATGATTTGACACATGAGGTTCTTCATGTCCCTGGGATATTAAACTTTTATCAGTCTTGATTTTTTAGGAACACTTTGATAGTTGTGATTTGTCTAAGTATCTATGTTCTTTTTGTTTTTCTATAAGGAGTCAGTCATTTTTTTGTGACTTCTGACCCTTCAGTCAGAAAAAAATACTTTCAACTTCAATGTCATGAAAATCTTTCATAATAATTTTTCTTTTTGCATATAAACTTAGACCTGCTGGTTGGGTGACACAATTATACCCAAATGACACAGGAGGATACCCAAGTGACACAGGAGGCTGAAGAAGAAGGATTCAGAGTTGGAGGCCATTTTCCCCAACTTGAGGGGATCCTCAGGAATGTAGTGAGACTCTGAAGGACTGGGGATGTGGCACTGTGTTCAGATCCCCCTGGGTTCAATCCCTAGTACTAATTAAAAAAAAGAAATAAATAAAAGATAAATAATACAAAACCTAAAAATCTTAGATCTCTATGGGATTTACCATTCAAAGGAAATTCAAGCATAAATAGTCCCTAAACATATGTGGTCAAACAGAAGTCAGACTGCACTGATGTGAAAAACCCAGAAGAGGCAAATCATGGGGAGAGAATGATGAGTGTTCCCTGGAGACTAGCAGGAGGGAGGAAGGGAGGGAATGGGTGTGGGTACCAAATACAGGGTAATGGGATGCACTTAAAGCCACTAAGCTGCATATTTTTAAAAACAATCTTAAATTTTAAAATAAACTAGTTTGAATAAAAATATATAAAAAGAGAAGAAAATAAAAGGGTGGAGAGGGAAAGGGCAACTCTGGGATTGGAACAGGTGTAAGGGGGTGTGCAGTGGGTGGTGCTGGCTGTGGGGCCACTAGGAGCCACAGGCCTGAAGCTGCTGTTGAAGGTGGTTCTAACCCTGGTGGTCTGTCAGGTGGTGGAGGTGGTTATGGAAGTTGAGCTGGAGTTTTCTTATTTTTTTCCTTTATCTTATCATTACATTCTATTGTGATACATAAGTTTCTAAGTGCTTTATTATTTTGTTGGCTCGTTGTTATTACCATAAATGATTTCTCTGCATACTGTTTTGTTCAGCACTGGTGTTGAGATTTACCTTCTTAAAGACATGGAGCTGGACATTGTTGCTTTTCCCTGCTGGATGTGTTCCCTGGTGTAACTGGTACAAAGGGGTTTTTCTTTTCTCTAGGCATTGATACAAGAGGTTTTTTTTT